GAATATATGTGCTTCCTTCACCCAACAGCTCCTTTGGTGATTAAATTAGAGGGTCTCAAACTTGCATAAACCTTGGAGTTCAAAGCTGAGGAGAGAATGCTTTTCTGCAGAAGTTATTTTAGAACACAACATTAAGAAGTCTTGAGCCAAGCCTCTACATTAAAAACTTCTATTGAAAACATTCAGCAAGACTTATAACCAAGAACTAGACCTGCAGATTTTCATTTCACTCACCTACTTCCACACAATTAAAAAACTGGAGCACAACAGAAGACAAAGTCAAGAAGGACTGGATTTAAACAGGAAATCATCAGTCGTGATCAGCTGACCATAGTGTTCAATGCTTTATGCTTCAACTCTCAAATTACACTTGCTGTTTAAGATCAGCACAGGGAGCACAAATTTTAACTCCATGGGCTCTGAAGAGCCACAGAAATGGATGCAGATCAACATAAGCTAAAAGTTGAAAAGACAGCAACTCATTCTTGCCCCGTCCGCGGCCCAGACAGATGTAACCTAGCAATGGACCCATGGAAACACACTAGAAACACAGCAGCACATTAGCAAACTTCAGCCAGCTGCTTAAAGATGGTAACACTCATGCTGGCTCTTGGAAAGAAAGGGCACAGTGCAACAACACTACAGGCAGAACAGATTAGAAACCTGCTTAGCAGCTGCCTGGCTACCTCAGACTCCTTCCTAACCCTCTGCTGAGGGCACCATCCATACACCTGAATCTCCCTTCTCCTCCGCTCCCAAGTCCCTCTCATGAATCCTCTACCTCCCACCTCCCCAAAAGCTGCAGACATCAAAGGCACCTGCCTTCAACACCTGAAGAGCAGGGGGCCTGACAGTCAAGAAATGCAACTCTGTATCTTCCCCTTCCATGCACTATTTTTTTCTTCATCTCTTTGAAAAAGGTGGCAGAGATAAATGGAGAACAAAGAAACAAGAAAAAGCCTCAGCTCTGGCCCACACCCTGCCTATTACTTAAGGGGGAAGGAACTCTTCCGAAAGAGGAGGAAAAAAATGTGCTCCGACACAATGGCTCAAAAGGCCAGGCAGCAAACCGGGCCACTTTGTACTGCTAACAAGGGAAACCTAATTACAGGAAGAGGGCAAAGAGGGACAGATAAAAGGGATACAAAATTTCAACATCTGTTGCCATAAAGGGATAAGAAGTGGGGAAACACAAAGTGTCAGTTTGGTGTCAGTGACGGCATAAAGCTACTTTCAAAGGGCTCAGGAGCAGGAGAAAAACCGAACAAGAAATTAGAGGGTTCTTAAAAAAAAAAAAAAAAAAAAAAAAAAAAAAAAAAAAAAAAAAAAAAACAGAAAACAAACAAACAAAATCCCCACTCTGCCAAAAATACCTTCAAAAGGGGGGAGGAGTTGGACAAAGACTGGCTATTTAAAACGCAGAGGATCTGGGTGGCTTGCAGGGCACAGCTAACTTTGGTTGTTTTCAGAGCTCTTGTGCCCTGCAGCATGTCATGTCACAGGAAAGAACACTGTAGGATTTGTGCATTTAAAGTGTTTATAGCATGAAGACTACCATGTAAGACAGATCATTGGTCCATTTCAAATATCAGGCTTTGCAGAATAACTCCAGGAGTTGCTGCAAAGAGACCTCTGGATTATTCTATCTTATGGAGAAGCATCCTTGAGACTGGGGCATTTGTCACTTAATGACATGCAAGACCACCCCAATAACATGGGAAGCAACAGTTCTCTGCAGGCAAATGACAAATGCTGGCCTTGGAGCTGTCAGTGGTGCATGACCCTCATCTTCCAAGGAGTTTAAACTCCCAAAGGCAATAGAAAGAAGAAAAAAGAGGAGGAGGATCTGAATAAGGTTTCCTTTTCTCTTGCTTGCCATTAAGTGGCTGTTCTGTTGAGCCACACACTCACACTGGCAAACAAGACAGGACGGTCTGAATAGAGAAAGGCAGAAGTGAGCAGAGGAACCTGACCTGCAAGAGGGGCAGCTGCCATCATATCCTTCACTAAAGGAAGGACAAGGGTACTTGGAAGAGGACAAGGAGTCAGCAAGCTCTTATCCTTGATGCAAGGACACAGGTTAGTATCGTGTGGCCCATATCGCTCACTGTTCCCCTTGCAGGCCTCTAATCACTGAACTTACAGCTGCTTTTACATACACACACCTTGATCCAGAGTGGGAATTAGTGCACAGCAACTTCCCCACATCTAAAAGCAATCAGATGGCACAGGGTAGCATGTGAGGGGTGAGAGATGTCCTCCACAAGTGCAGCTAGCCAGCTTCAAAAGCATATGAAAAAAATCTAAATCCTCCTTCATTACAGGAGACAGGGCCAGGTGTAGCAGCAGCTGGAATTTCAGCCATCAGAGACAGTGTTTTGGCATTATGCAGTCATTCCCCTGCTTTAGACTCCCTTGACAATTGCTTGTTGCTGCCTGTTGTGGCTTTGATCCAATGCCATCATCTCAGCAGAGTCAGAAATGAAAGACAGTTGTGGGAGCGGGATGCAGCAAGAGGCGTTTCCTTTCCCCACTAAAAATTTCCTCTGCACCAAAACCAGTCAAGCCCTTTTCAAAGCACAGGACATATTTACAGGTGAAGACATTATCCTCTTCCTCTTGGAGGGATGAGAATGGCTGCCCCAGGGTCAGGCAACAGCGAAGGTCATAAATACAAAACATACCATGACCAACATTGACAAGCACCAGCCAAGGACTTATCTGGCCTGGAACTAAGATGATCAGTACACAAAAGGTTATTTAAGCTTTAAATCCTTCTGTAGCACGTTCCAGATCACAGCTGTTGGGTAAAAAGACCACCTACCCCATTGGAAGAGAATGGCACAGAAACTGTTGTACTGTTACTTACTCACCCCTCTGATGCAAAGAAAACTCCCCTAACTGAATTAGCTGATCCTGGACAGCACTAAACACCTCAGTGGTGCTAAGGATCCTCTGGTTTTCCAGAACACACCTTATGCATCATTCTACCCTTCCCAATTTTTTTTTTTTTTGACAGAAATTACCTGGATTCTGTTCTTAGACATCCTTGCCATGTTCAGCCTCTTCGGGGCAGCCTCTGGGCCCTTTTGTGGCCACAAGAAAAGGGTAAGCAGCGAACTCAGAGGCCCTGGCTCTGACTGCCAGATGTTTTCAGGACACATTAAGCTCAGGAGAAGTTTTTAAGTCCTAGGTGGCTCTAAGATTTTAAGTTTTCATGCCACACTCTCAATCCTGGAGTCTGACCAGGGAGACAACATTCAAAAGCCTCAAAGGAACAGAAACATTCCCTACAAGATCCCTTCTGGCAGTCACTGGAGCCTTTGAAGATGGATCCAAAGCTCTGCTGGGAAGATGAACAGTTTATGGAGAGTCAAGACCTGGAAGGATAGCTCTGTACTCCCTTTCTATGAATAATAACATCAAGCTTCACATACTAGAGTCCCAGCCATGCTTTCTACTCAGCCTCCCACCCTGCAAATGCTGACGAATCTACCAGCTCACACACAGGTCCCTGCAGAGGAAAAGACCCAGTGGCATGGTGCATTCCAGCTGTGACAGGTGAAGAGGGAAGAATAAGTTTGACACTCTAGCCATTTCAACAGAGGCCCAGTGGCCTAGGTTGCCTTGGCTTTTTTATTTGCCTGTCACTCAGGCTTTTACGTTATTGAAAGATCAAACTCCGCTGTGCTTGTTCATTACCTTAATCCTATTTTCTACACAGCTTTATTATCTCTTCAGGCTTCCTTGGGAAAGGCTGTCAGAAAGGTTGGGGCAGGGGGGAGAGGGTTGCCCATCTCCTCACCCCTGTCAGATGCCTCTATTCAAGAACAGCCAGAAGACTTGATGGACAGGGGTATCACAGCACAGCCTGCATCCTTCTGGGGTACTCCAAAGGCACCACTGGATGGATCACTAAGAAACATGCACCATAAGTAATGCACTGGTGCTCTTTCCTGCTCCAGCTTGTAGGATGCATTGTTGGAAAGTATTTTTGTTACTTCAGAGAAAAAAACTGCTGGTTTAAATTTGTATTTGATAGAGTTGACTTAAACAATCTAAACTATTTAAACTATAGATTAGAAGGTAACTGGTCTCAGACCTACCCTGTGCCCACACCAATCCTCCTCCATCCCCTTTCCCCAAATACAGCTCTACTAATATCCCTCAGGCCCCTTCTGCCATTGCTCATCTCACTCCTGACAGCACTCCTTTGGATAATCTGGGCTGTGCCACTCCTACCCAGAGTATCCTGGTCCTGGAAGGCAGGGCTGCCATTCCAATAATCCTGTGAAATATTTGCTATCTGTCCATCACTACACTAAGACCCTCAGGCTGAGAGTTTCAAATTTATCAGCAGTTGAGTTCTCACATCAAGATTTGAGAACATTTCCCCAGTTGCTAAGGTCAGCACCTTCACCGAACAGGAACTACTCAAAGACCCCAAATCAGAGGCCACAGCAATTAACTTCCTCAGTGCTCATTAGGACAAAGAGAAGACAACGTGCCTAAGTCACTTCCATAGATAACCTGTTGCCACACATCACCTCTCTGAGCTACTGGAATTGCCAGGCAGGACAAGGTGACTTCAGAGCCTGTGTTTGCCTCTGGCTTCCCAGCACCAAAGAGAAATGGGTGAATGGGAGGATAAGGATCACCTTCCTCACCTCCTCTGGCTGAGGCATTAACAGAGACAGATGAAAAGGAGGGTGTAATGGGTATATTTTGACTGTATACAGGTAATGGGAAGAAACCAGGATGGCTGTGCCATCAACTGGAAAAGCTGAGAAGAAAAGCCAAGTTAGTGAACCAGAACCACCCCCCACATACCCCTTTCCACGCCAGTCTGCTTTGTCCCCCACTCCTCAACACATCTCATCTTCTATCATCCCTTGCCTATATTGACAACATGAATAATACCCTTTTGCAGCATTTCCAATATTGCATTGATATTCACTTTTCTTGTCAAGTCCCTCCCTGTAACCTGGAAGCTCACTCACCTCTCAAGGTCCCAGATTCTCAGAGGTGAGATGTGTCCACAGCAGGCTGTCCCTGTCACAAATGAGCTGTTTAAAAAAACAAAGAAACAAAAAAAAACACTTACTAATCCTCATGTTCTGAAGAAAGTGCATGAGTGAGACAGAAAACAGATTACAAGAAAGACTTTGAATTATGGTTCAAGATGATTTCAGCATGTGCCACCACATTTCACAAGGGACGGGCAGCAGCAAAGGCAGAGCTGCCAAAGGACTCTCACTAGCTGAGCTTCCCAGATGCAGCAGGTCACAACTGCAGAGAATTGGCAGGACATAAAATGTATTTGTAAATACAAAGGGAAAACCTAAACAGGAACATCTGTAAACAACATTTTCAAGTGGGTCAGTACAGAACTTAGCATGTTTCATATACAGTCAGTGCTGTAAGCTGCAGAAAGACCCCATGGAAAATTTACTGTTATTTCCTACTTCATGTCTCACTTCTGCTTGTTGGCAAATTCTGAGTACAATCATGGACTGGCTGCAGCATCACAGGCCTAAAGAATCACAGAATAGAGGTCTCTGGTCCAGCCTGCTCAAAGCAGGGCCAATTTCAAAGCTGGATCAGGTTGCCCTCCCCAGTGCTCAGGCACTCTGTTAGAGGCAGCAATATTTGGCTCCATTTACACCCTCCAGCAGGGCCCATTCCAAAGTCATCTTGGCAGTGCTACGTCCCTGCTGCACATGCTGGCTCCAGAGGTCACCTGACACCCACTGGCCTCATACTAGTTCATAAGACAGAACAAATCCTTAAAATCAAGCGTGAGGAACATGGGTGCTGTGCTGTCCAAACCACACTGCTTGTTTTGTGCCAGCTGCCCATTCTCAGTCCAAATAAGAGGAAGCAGCTCATCCAAGGTTTTCTAAGGAAGTTACAAATTATCTCTCACAAAGCCATATTTATTGCAGCTACTGAGAATAAAACGCCAAAACTACGTTTAAGTCAATGCAACAAGGATAGCATGAACACAGGAAATGGAACCTGCTTTAAATAAAAGCCATTTCAAGGCTTTGCCTAAAGAACTTTTGCAGTATGATACAGAGCTAACAGCTGAAACATGAAAGCAAAATAAGAAAACAATGTCATGTCTATAAAAATAGCAGTTAGAGTAGTTTTTAACATTTCTTTGATCCTCTACAGTATTCTTTCTTTGGTAGTCAAGGTGTCTGCAAGCTTCTATTGTACCAGGAATGGATTCTTGCAGCAGCCTTGACTTCTGTGAGAAGTACTACTGCTGCTGCAAGAAGGCACTCAGCAGCCAAGTGGTGAACACAGGCTTAACTCAATCGAAGCCAGAGAAGGACCAGATGGAAGCAAGACTGGAACTCAGGACTCCTTCTACTCCTTTCTCTGTGGTTTAGCTGAGCAACTGGTTTCTCCAAACAATAAGGCCAAAGCAGCACTGATAAAACACTCTGCAAAAGAGGCAAGCAGATAACATCAAACCATCAAACCACACCATGGGGGTGTCCACAAGTTCTGTGAGCTTATCTGCCCTGTAGGCTAGAAAAGGCCTGCAGAACTAGAGCTATTTCAAAGTGTCTCCAACCAGGATGTCTTACATGCAAAATTCCAGGTTCATTGGCAGTGCACATGCAATCAGCCAAAGCACCTGTAGCACTGGGCTGTCCCTACAGCCAGGTGCTGCAGAATGCTCACATTACTCTTCTCCATCTAAGTCCCTGACCAAAGTCTGAGAGTCTATGGAAAATCCAATTCCTGTTGCTGTGCAGCAGCCACCACGATCAATTAAGAAAGTGTCCAGCATGTCATCTTTGGAAACATGGTTTCTGCTCAATGCCTACCTTCTCTCCACCATAGTCCAGGACAGGAGGGAACATTTCTCTTTTGCCAATGTCACCCACCTCAGAGGAAAACAAGCAAAAGACACCTGCTTTGGCAGCTTGTCCGTCAAGCCCCATGTCTGGAAAGCAGCACTTTGGTCAGGAGGTTCCCCTGCTACAAAGCTAGGTGTTGGGTTTTGTCCCCCCCTCCCCAGCCATAATCCATTAATAACTACTAAAGTCAATTACTGTGGTTAGAAACACAATAGCAGTCAGGGAGTCAGTCAAGCAGGCAATTGGGTGCTTAAGATTTTTCTTTTGGGGGACAAACTGACTCTGTCCCAGCAGAGAACACTCTCACGTGGGAGACAGATCCCTTTGTGCAGAAGGTATGCACAAGGCTTTGATGGTTGCCACAGGTCTAAATTACCATGGAGGCACACCAACAGGGAGAAAAAGGTGGGAGGAACAGCTAGGTTTAATCCTCCCTCATGCTGTCAGTTCTGGACTTCAGCTTTCCCTCCTTGGTCCTTACCCCCCACTCCTCAGAGAGAAAAAGAAAAAAAAAAAAAAAAGAGAAAAAAAGCATTAGATAAAGAGATTTTTCTCCAGCATCGAATACAGGCCTCAGGGCCACAAACAAGTCTCTTCTGGGTAAAGCTGACTCCATTCAGTCAACAGGAATTTTGTCTCATACTTCAGTGGGATCAGGTTTGCAGGCCTTATCTTTAACAGCCTGAGCCCATTAGCAAGCAAAGATAAGACTTCTCCCACAAGAGCAGGCCACCTTCACTGCAGCATTAGAATGCAGCATTCACAAGACAACATGCACAAGAAGAGGTACCAATGAGAAATTCTTGAAACCTGAGAGTGAACTGACCTTAAAGTCTGGATTCCAGGGCATGATACAGGGCCCCTCACCTTGAGTCTGATCTGCAGGCACACACCTTGAAGCCTCAGATGTCTCATAACTGGGAACCTCTCACAGGTGACAGTTTTACTTCAGGTAAAAGAGCAACAGAAGTCAGCTTTCCTATGTCTAAACCAACATGCAGATTGGAGGAAAGCATGTAAAGCTTGGCTCCGAAACTTCTGAAACTTCATTTAGTGTGGAAGATCAGGCTGAAGCCTTCTATCAGGCTTGCTTCTTTTGCATGTTGTCCTCACAGGGATCCCCTAGGAACTAAAACCAAGCCAAAAACCAAACCAGAAAGGCAAGAATTTTGCACAGCATTGAGATACACATACTTCATAAACAGCATATTTTTGTTGTCCAACAAACACAAGGAATCTTACAACTCATCTGATACTTTGATGCCCTCTTTTTTTATTTGAAACTCCCTACTGACAGAGAGGAGAGGAATAAACAAGAGGGAAAAAAATCCCCAAAAACAACAGAACAACCAAGAGCCTGCCTCTCCAGAAGCCAGACCTTCTCTCTGTTGCAGAAGAGACGTTCATTAGACATCATCCCCTCACACTAGAAGCTGGGCCAGGAAATGAAAGAGAGCACACATCCTGGCAGTGCTGTTGGAAGAAATACAAGAACTCTCCATCTGACTGAACTGTGGTTGTTGAAGATCCCATGGCATTTCTGGCAACAGCAGTAGTGCTCTGGCTACACTTCAGCTGCAATAATCCCATAGCTGCTCCCAAGGTGCCAACTACAGTTTGACTCGTAGCATCCCTCTTTACCCCATCCTGGCCAGACCATTGCCAGATGTGAACAAACCAGAGGAACAGAGGTAGATGCCCATTAGTCCTTTTGGAAAGAAGCTGTTTATCTTGAGGCTTGGAAGCAGTATCAGCTCCAGAAACACAAGTCACATTGAACCACACATATTTTCCCCACGATCAACTCAGCCTCCAGAGTGGGTCCTGCTTGAGCTGGGAATCCTGCAATGCAAAGTCATTGAAGAAACCTGGGTAAAACAGGTCATTTCCCATCTCAATACATCTCTGTGCCCCAGGCTTGTGCCCTTCCCTGTACTGTAAACAGATTGCTTCTCTAGCTCTATTCTGCTCTTCAGGGATTTCAAATCCAGAATCTGCTTGACACGTGCAAGAGCCTGCTCCTTCCTCCTGGCGCTCTCCCCCGCCCCCTGGAATTGGACATCGTTGTTCCATTTTGGAAACTATTATATATGGAGACTCACTGGACTGGGAAACAAAGAAGTTATTACTTGACAGAGCCCTGCAGCTGGGAATGTGGAAGGTGGGGGGAGAAAAGGGGGAGAACCAAGGGAGACAGGATGGGGCGGTTGGTAGCAGTGTTATGGAAGCGATCAACAGAAAGGACAGCTCAAAGATGGGAAACATCTACTTTAAAAAGTCTCAAGTGAGATGAGAAAAGAAGGAGAAGAGAAAGCAAGTCCAAAAGGGAGATAGGAGAAGAGAGAGAGCAGTTGGTGCCGACGGTGCCGCGGGTTAAACGCACGGGTCTGTGGGTTTGTGTAGCCTTTGATTCAGCCCTGACACGCTTTGGCAAGGGAGGCCACCGGAGCTGTCAAATCCTTCACCAACGTGCCCATCAATTGTATTCAGCTCTCCCCGACCCGCACTGGCATTTTAATTACTGTTGGGTAAACTAATTTGTACAAATGAAGGCAACTCTGCCTAATAGAATATGCAAGCTCTCTGACCTCTGACAGGCGATGACACAAGATACAAAGGAGGCAGAGGAAGGCTTTTTATCAGAGCCTTATTACTCTCTATTACTCCAATTAGTTAAGCTCCAGTGCTCCTAATTGGGGGAAAAAATTGCAATTAAATCAATTTTTGATGGGCTGAAAGTGGGTTACCGAACCGCCCTGCCTGTGAAACACTGATATTATAGCAGCAAAGGTCAAAGTCTTTGTCGGCACCTGTGGGGCCCCCACCTCCCCTCTCCAAGCCCCTCTGTGCCCCCCCAACACACACACTCAGCTCGCCAAGGCGAATCATTAGAACATGTCATGTCTTATCGCGGCCGCCACCATCCCGCCAGCCTCATCAGTTGACATCATTATGAAAGGTAACTCCTCCAGCATGAATACAGTGCTAAGGTCACACAAACTTGATGGAGCCCCTGCTGAAGAGCAGATGCAACAGTAACAACATTGTGAAGGGGAGAGGAGGAGGTCAGAAACCCAGCACAGAGAGTTTTGCCACCTCCAGGATGAGACTTCTCCAACAGACCAGATCCACACAAAGGGAGGGAGACAGAGTGCAGGGGAGCAAGTGCTCCTTCTGCAGGGGCATTTAAT